AGCAGGGTGGGTCACACCCACGCTTCCCTAGGTTTTGCCCTTAATCGAAGCGAAGCGCGATTTGCTGCCTCCCTTTTTTTCCACTCTGCCGTGCTCCCGCTGAGACCAGATTTATGGGCTCTTGACGGTGACTTTCCGGTACCTGGACATTCTCGCTGATGGACCAGATGTTGCTCAGATTCTTGGTTTCTCTGTAGACCCCCCAACCCTGGATATTGCTTCGTGAAACCCATCCTCTGTTCCGTGTTTTTTCTCAGCGCCTGTGGGAGAAGCGGTAGGTCTGGGCCTCATAACTTGAAAAACAGTTGCGATGGTCAAAAAGCAGCAAACTTGAGGAAAAACCACGAGCAGCAAAACTAACCAATCACATGCAGAAATGCTTTTTTGTTCCAGAGTGGATGCTCGCCAACAAAGCTGGTGTGCAAGTAAGCACACCATAACTCCGCCGAGCAGCTGGAAAACTTCAGCGTTCAAAGGTTGCGGTTCTTTCCCTTACCCCGGCAAAATAACATCAAGTTAGCCCCTCAAGTGGACCATTGTTGCAGTGACTTGACCCACTGTTTCAAGCACCAGCTTACAGTGTATTACAGCGCCACGGCCAAATTCAAGGCAAGCTGCGTGCCCGGACAAATCCACCCCTGCAAGAGTAAGGTGTTATGTTCCGCTTGGCCTGGGGCGCCAAGGTTCAAATTTCAGGTTTTCAGGTAAAAACAAAGTCTCCGTAAAGTTTTGGATTTTGGCGGAGTTTTGAATGTTTTTGACGGATTTTTGCGCAGCGTTTTAGGTATATCTAAAAAACCAATTAGCAGCTTTTGCATGACTGGCATCTAAAAAACCAATTAGCTCCTACTGTCAGCATTGAGGCCCTTACCTCAAGGCTGAGAGTTTCAGACCGCAGCTTTCTCCACACCATCATGGTTCTGCTCTCCAAACTGTTTTTGGAAAGAAGGATCCCACCCTGCATCCAAAGCTGCGCAAACAAGTTTGTTGTCGATGTATTATGTGCGCATTGCCAATTGCCGCAATGTGGCTATAGCTGCAATCTCCCTCTAGCGACTCTACCGGGAGGTTTTGCTATTACGCTATTTTATCCCTACCGGCCTACACGCATGCGTCTTCCACCAAGCATACTTTGGAACTGACAGAAATCAGGAGCGCAACGTCATTTCAATAAGCGCAGGTTCAATTTTAGGAGCGACAGCCATGAAATCCAGGAGGATCGTTCTCCGTGCGTTGTCTAGGGACTCAGAAAGCAGTAGTCTCCGGAAACTCCGTGTTTTTTCTCCGAGAAGGGGGGCTCAGGGAGATTGTTGGCATTCAACCCAAAAGAAAGCTCTTTGATATTCTTTGTCGCGTACTTTGCTGCTTAGGAAGTTGGAATATGTCTTGGGTCATATTGGGATTCGTGAATGGCTTGGGCCCGATGCCGGCATCAAGGTTGACTACATCTCTGGAGTCAGGGATTGGAGCAGTTGGCCACTAGCTTGTATCTAGACAACACCTTGCCTGTGCACTTGCCTACTCTGCCGTGCACTGGTCGTCGCTCAGGCTCCGAAAGGCGCCGGTGACCTTCAGCGGCGGGCTGAGGGACGATGATACTGGCCTACATGCTTTCATATTCATGCTTCGCCAAGGCAAGGGGTGAGATAAAACCAAAAAACAGTTCACCGTTTCTTGATGTTTTGACCCCTGAGACCTTCCGCGGAACCTGAAAATCGTGGCCACAGGGAAGGGGGCGGCAGTGGAAGAAAGCCCCTATGATGTGATCTGCATGGTCAAACGACATGCTTCCGACGACCATCTTTGCCAGGACCCCTTCCTTTTTTTGTCAGCACTCCTTGCCCCGCTTTTGGTGCAGGAGCCCATCCTGGCCTTCCCCCACCGCTTCCTTTCTAGGCTAGGCCCACTGCCTCAAGAGCCGCGCCCATTGACTCCGCTCAAACCTCAGAAGCGGGCTGCTTACATCAGTTTGGCTGAAGCGCTGCTCAAAATGCAGCCTTGTGAGAGCACAGCTCGCTCTGTGAACTTTTTGCTTGAGTTGTGCAACAACCTGGCACCAGAACCTGTTCCTCGCTTGCCTTGGTTTGAAGAACCAAGTAGACCCTTGCAACTCCAAGCCAACCTGCCAAACGCATTGGCGAGGATTGCCCCTGCCATGCGGTTTCATGCAAACATCGGCCGATGAAAGCGTTGCAAAACAAAGCCTAGCCCTTTGCCTGCTTTGTGTGCAGCTCAGCGCAAGAATGATTCTGCAGGCTGCAGCTGCAGCATTTTGCTTTCGAAGGGTCTATTGCAAGGTTTAGGCAAGGCGCCCTTCATGTTTTCCTTTGGCGGGTATTCGAAGCCGCACTGCACTGGGAGGCGGGCATCCACTGTTTGGTCTGTTGCTTGTCCCACCGCTTTCTCAAGGCGGGCCCTCTATGTGGGCACCATTTGGGAGACCCTGAACTTGGACCCTGACGAGGACTCTCAGGCCTGTGCCCCAAGTTTCTGTTCAGCTCCAAGTCAGAAAGCCCAACATCTACTAGGTTGCTCTTTACGAGCCTGAAGACCTTCGTTTTTTGCAGAAGGCCGGCGCCTCTGCCCCGTAAAATCTGGGAAACCCCGCTTTTGTGAAGCCTGTAGGAACCGCTCCATGGACCTCCTGAACAACGCGATCAAGTTGTCGTCGGGAGCCCAACTGAATTTTGAGAACGGGTGCCCTGACCACATATCTTCGAGGCCAGCCAAGAGCCTTCTGAGAAGAGCCCTGGGCCCAAGACCAATTGATTGAGAAAGTTGCCAAAGTGTAACTCAATGCATCCAATTGATCAGTTTACAAAGTGGCCATAGCCACATTTGATCTGCAATTTGCCGGGCTACTGAAACAAAAGCTGCTCAGCTCACAAATCAACGTGCAGTAGTTGGTGTTGCGCACACATGTTTCTACTCAGCATCGGCTCAAACAAAAGAAGTTGGCAGTCATGGTTCGACTCAGGGATGCCATTGCTAGGATCTTATCTACGGGGACCTCTCCTAAAAGGGGTTTGTCATCCCACAGGCCCTCCCTTTCAAGCACCTCGCGTTCCCGCATCAGACCTGGCCAGGCCGGGTGTTCGCAAGCCCAAGACAACCATTGTGAAGAAGAAAAAGTTCGAACCTAAGCGATGGGAAACAGATCAGCCCTAGGATGTGAGCTGCTATTTTCTGAGGCCGTGCTACTACCCGAAGACCAACGTTTGCAAGTCTGAGAAGGCGCCCAATTTCCCAACCTTCAACAGCACTTATGGCTGGGCCGATGTCTACCTTGAAAAAGTTGCAGAAGAAATGGGCCAAACCTGGCTACACAAACGGTTGGCAGCTTGGAAGTGGGATCTCTCTAGCACCTTCAGCGGTGTGGGATGCGCTGAAAGTGTCCGCTCCTTAAACCATGGGGCCAAAGGGGCGACAGAATCATACCTCAAAATACACCTCAAGCTCTCTAGACAAAAATCGTTGGACCCTGTTCTTCCAAGGCTGCTTTGAGTTTGCAGTCTGCGGCTCGGCGCTTCATGGCCCGTCACAAGGCCAAGGAACACTCTGGCCCGAGACTGCGGCTGACCTATGCTTGTGAGATTGACCGGGAATGTCAAAAGGTGCTTGCTGGCACATACCAACACTGTTGCTTTGCAGACGTGTGCGATCTCACCGCCGGCAAGACAAGATACTACTGCAGCACCCACCAGAAGAAGTGCATCTATGTGAAGCCTCCCCAGGGAAAGTGTCATGCCCTAAGTTTGTCCATGTCTCAGCCCTAAACAAGGCATGGCCCGTGCCAGGTCTGAAGGTGAATGCTTCAGGCCCGGCGCTTGGCCTTGCTGAGCTTTGGTGAGTTCTCCATGATGGGACAGGCCCTATTTGCATATCGTTCTCCATGATGGGAAAACGGTTGCAAGAGCGCAGCGAGAGCTTCAAATGCCACGAAGCCTTTTACCTCTCCCAATCCAAAGTCAATGACATCCTTCTCATCGAGAATGTCACGGAGTATCCCATGAGCTTAGTTGAAAAACAACTGGGTCGTGGGTGGCAGGTCATGGCAGCCAAATGTGACCCGAGGTGCTTTGGCATGGGCTGCGCCAGGGCTCGGATTTACATGTGGGCTTGGCGGAAGGACAAGGTGACCTGGCGCCCTGAGTGTGATTTGATGAGTTTGCTTTCAATTCTGACTTCAAAGTCAGTGCTGGGTGCCAAAGATTACTTCTGGGATACCACCGCGGGGCCCTCGAATCTTTCTCTTGCTGAGGAGCCATGGCTTCAATAAAAATCTTGCTCAGTGTGGCTGGGTATGAGTTTCAACTGGCCTCCCTATCTAGGCCCGCGAAAAGCTCGACCCAGGAACGCAACTTGCAGGACTACCGCGAGGCTGAAAAGGACCTTCGGTTCCCAGACCTGTCTCAGTATCCCAAGAATCACCGTGGAAGAGGGGAATGCAAAGACAACACCCTGATGACCCTTACCACTCAATCAGGCAAGATCTACTCAGAGGCTGGGCCCCTATTTCAGAAACAAGCCACGTGATCAAAACAGAGCTCCGAGTAAATAACTTGCCGTTTGCCCATCCTGCCTGGCGCCCAGGCTCATCAGCGGTTTATGCAGCCTCGCGAGCTGCTATCAACACACGCACTGCCGTGCACACCACTGCAGGCAAAGAAGTGCGGAGCACCCCAGCTGGCTCTGACTGATGTAAAGTCTTCTTCTATGGTGAGGATGGCAGGAAATGCCATGAGCCTACCCTGCGTGGGGGCTTTCCTTTTGCTTGGCGCGATCTCCTTTGAACCCAAGAAGGACCTGTAGCTGATGTCCAAAGCATGCTCTAGTTTGCAGTCAATTCGGTGTGAGTCTTACAATTAATTCGGTGTCATCAGCTCGGCGTGGAAAATGTACGATGTGAGTGTCAGCGTCTTGCTTTCTTGAGACTGCCGTCAACACAATGTCCAATGCCTGACCTGGTAGCATTTTGAGTCTCGGGCAATCTTCTAGAGATGCCGAAGCGAGGAGCGCCTGCGGCGCCCAAACAGAATGCAAAGGCCGCGCGTGTGAGAGATGCGCACCCATGGGCAGAAGCTGTGCTTCAAGCAGCCAAGCCACTCTTCTTATAGCAACCAAAAAGCAAGGGTGACTTGTTGGTCAAGGGTTCAAGGAGCCTACTGCCTTCACGGGCGCCCAAGGAACTTCAATATCGAGAAAGACGAGCACCCGGTGAAGTTCGTTGTGGATAACTTGACTCCTGAAATGTACACCCCCTTGTTGAGTTGGCTTCAGGAGTTTACGAGTGTGACAGACCCAACTTCCTTCACCTTGACAGCACCTCTGCAAAATTAAGAGTTAGAATGGTTTCAATTTAAAGTTGTCCCAAAATCGCTTGCCGATGCCCATCGTTGAGGCAGGTGCTGGGGCGGTCCAGGAGGCTCCAGTGCTCTCCTTCTGGTTCAATCTGCCAAGCGATGGCCTTCCTGTTCTTCGGGATTGGCTTCTGACGGCGGAGGGGGTGTACTTCTCTGGGTATGAATCCTGGAGGGAGCCTTTCGAAACCGAAAGCAAGACCGGTGATCTTTTGGATTTGGATGGAAAGCCCCTTTCCTTTGCCTCTCTCTTGGCTACAAAAGGATGCGGGCGCATGAGTGTAATCATGTTTGGCCTGATCTTCACCTACCTGCGCTTGAAAGACACAATGGAACCTGCTCAAAAGGAAGACTTTGCCAGGCCGGGCAAAAGAAAATGAACTTTGTAGCAGTGGATATTTCACTCATTAGTTATATGGGTCGCCCTATGCCTTCTGAAAACCTGGAACTGCTGGGGGTGGGGGTTTGGCGGGACCGTCGTTCTCAGGGCACCCCCCCAACAACTTGTGGAAGGTGGCAAAGTTAATTTACCTTCAGGCTAGCTTTGTTTCTAAAGGCGTTTCCTTTTTGCTGGGGGTTATTTCTTCTTGGGAGCCGCGGATTGTGTAAGTGCAGGAGAATTTCCTTTGAGGGAGCCGGGGGGCGGGGGTGATGGTTCTCAGAGACGGTCGCCCTTTTGGGGTTCTGGTTTGAAGGAAGAAGTGGGTGACCCATATTAGGTAACCGAAGCTTTTTCAGCAAAATATTGAGGTTGATTTTTTTGGTGCTGCGAAAGGGGGGTGGTGGTTTGGCGAAACCGTCGTCCCCGGGCCCCGATCAAAACCATCGCCCCCGCCCCCACTACTAACCCCCCACCCCCACCCCCCTCCCCCGACCCCCCTCCCCCTTTTGGAGACTTCTGAGCCAGGTTCTTGAAGACTGTGAATCTGGTGAAGCTTGTCTTGATGCAACATGACCACCATTCTCACAGCGAATGGCGGAGATTGCAAACTCATGAGCAACAAGCAGAGCGTCAACGAAAAAACCTTCTTCAGAAATGCCTGGTTTTCGCCCGGAGAGCCAAAGAGAAAACACTTGAGGACCTGCGTTAGCCGAAGGCTAGGGACTAACCTTTTGGGGCAAGAAGCAACATGTCACATGGTCCGTTGGTTTTGAACCTGCCTGACATCGAGAACCCTTATGTTTCGTTTGGTTAATTCATTGGCACTTTCTATTTCAATTCGCCTTGTATTTGTTCAAAGCCTTTGGAGGACCCGAACCTTTATGGAGGAGGCCAAGCCGGACTCCGAAAAGCTTTCCTTGCCGGGGTTGATGAGTTCAATTCGTATGGCATCGCCGCGATGAGTAGCCGTCACCAAATCGATCAGACAACTGCTTCTTTGCTCTATGGGTTTCATGTTCCTTGGCTGTCAAAACCACAACCCTTTCCATACAAAGAGCCATCCAGACCTGGCCTTGCCTGCGCTTGAACTCCCAGGTCGGTGTCGCGCCCAAAGCCTGGACCATGCTGGAGCGGCACTTGCACCAGCACAAGTTCGAAATGTCAGGCCGGTGGGGTAGGGGGGTAAAGGGTTATCCTTGACCAATTTAAAGGGTGTTATCCCTGACCAATTTGTTTGGGTGCCTGCCAGCCTTCTCCCGGGACACCTTGCTGGAATCCCGATGGCTTCTTCAAGGAGCAGGCAAAGCCAACTCGGCAACATGGAACAGTATACTGACGATGGATGAAGGAAAGCAAGTTTTGTTCATGTGCAGGATCTTGCTGCTACATGAACTGACTTCGAAAAGGGCGGGCAAAAGCTGCTCCGTTCGTTTGAGCCAACAAGATTGGAACGAAGAGGCTGATAGGATGTGTTTGGTTGGACACATCATCACCGCCATGCTTGATGCCACCCAGCCGAGCGGCGATCCCACCTTTGATCGCAAAGTTGTCGACACCGTCGCCAGAAGGGCCGTTGAAGGGCGCGCCTGGCGCGTTTGCCGGTAGTGTTTTTTGGTTCCCCTCAGCAACAGCGCCCACACATCCAAACCCTTTTTTGGGTAACCTTGTTTGTCAGAGTGGTGAAATTGCGAAGCATTTCCTGCCCTGCCCTAAGGGATTTTCATGCTGAGATCAACGATCTTCTAGCCATCCGGGATCCAAAACTCAACCCTGAGCACACCCAGATATGGACCGAGAACATGCCCATTGTGAAGCAACAGGATGATGCAATTTGCAAGGTGGACGGCAAGTTGAAGGAGCTTTCTTCTGATGCGCGGAAAGCAGCATGGACAGCCGACACCATGAAACTCGCAAGGGATTGCGCTGCTCTTGGCCAACTCTACCAACGTGACTTGAAGTCGCAAAGGTCCCAGCGAATTCAAAAGGTCCTGCACATGAAGAATCAAAACACGATCGGGGCTTCCGTTGTCAGCAACTTCATGTCCAGCAGTGTGGCCCACCGATATGGAAAAGCGGGTGAGCTAGAAGCGGCAGTCGGCAAGGCAAGTTTCCGTGCTGATGATTGGAAATCGTTAAAACTAGTTCACGTTGACAAAAACTACTGTTGGTTCAAAAAAAATAATGTTGTTGGCTCCTTGGTTTGGAAAGTAACCCCTGACAGTTCATGGATGCTTGGGAATCCACCGACCCGGCTCTTGTGGTTTGGGTCGACTTCACCAAGTCTGGCCGGCTGTCAAACGCAGACCTCAACCTCAGCACGGACATCATTTGCCAGGTGTTGCAGTCCCAGCCTCTGCGATCGTGCGCCATCGCATTCTGCCCACACCTGGTTTCCGAAAAAGTGGCCAGCGGGCAGCGAGGAGAGATTAGGAACCTCGGCCTTTCAACAGAAACCTTCGTCACTTTCACCCTCGAAACTTGAACTTATGGGATTGAGCTTGTGGAAGCAATTGTAACAAGCCCCAAAAGGCTATCAGGGGACCACGTTTGCTGTTCAAAGTTCAAGTAGCCAGTAGGGTAATTCATGGCAACCGAAATGAGGCGAATCGAGGACAAGATGGATGCCCGGAACCTGCACACGGAGCTCATCATCATTCGCATGAGCAACCCACCGGCATCCAAAAAGGTACCATTGCAGTTCTACGCTTGGCTGATTCGGGATTTCCAAACAAAGGACGAGAACGTGTTTGCAGATTGCCAGCTCTTGGCTGACAAGCCGCTCAGCGCAAAATGAGAATACGTTGCTATTGTAACCATCTGAGATAAAATCCCCTATAGATCAATTCTATGTTGAAACCAATCGTTATCTAGTAACCAGTCAGGGGATGCCGGGATATTCTTCCATGGCAGCCGGAGTCCAGCTACATTGTGCCCACTTCAGAGAAAGACGGGTTGCCACACGCATCGGAGGGCAACAGGCTCGGAAACCTCATTGACCTTGTTGTCTTATTGTTTTGCTAACATGTACTTTCCAGCAGCAGGAGCTTATCGGATGTGCAAGAGGCTGCCCAACTACTTGCCGGCAAGAGCGTGCCTGCAGCCATTCTCGAAGCGTTGCTGTCGAAAGCCCAAATTCCCGGGAATGTGGTGGCCCTCGTCAACACGACCCCGTACGACACATGGTTGGAGAAGACTTGCATGAAGTGGGACGCTGACCACCCAGGGCAAAAGATCAAATTGAAGACGCTCTCCATTTCGAAGAGCCAGACAATCGTTGAGTACTGTCAGAAGGCTATTGCCTTGCAGCTTCTTGAGGACGCAACCAACTGCATTTCCGCCCCCTCATTCTTGAAACAGGGTGTAGCATATTGGGCTTTTGCAATTTTGCTGTTTCGGTTGATTGGATAGGGATTGAAGGGTTGTCGTCAATCATTGTGTTCTTTCTCTCTGTCTGTCTGTCGTTTTTCTTATTTTCTTTTCTTTTCTTTCCTTTCCTTTTCTTTTCGTTTCTTTCCTTTCCTTTTCTTTCTTTTCTTTTCTCTTCTTTTTTTTTCTTTCCTGTCCTTTTCTTTTGTTTCTTTCCTTTCCTTTTCTTTCTTTTCTTTTCTCTTCTTTTATTTTGTTTCCTTTTCTTTTCTTTTCTTTTCTTTTCTGTTCTTTCTTTTCTTTCTTTTCTTTCTTTTCTTTCTTTCTTTCTTTCTTTCTTTCTTTCTTTCTTTCTTTCTTTCTTTCTTTCTTTCTTTCTCTCTTTCTTTCTTCTCTCTTTCTGTCTTTCTCTCTTTCCCTCTTTGTCTCTTTCTCTCTGTCCCTCCTCTCTTTGCTTGGCAGGAGTGGAAAGTTAACGCTCACTGTATGGGTCAAGACGTGATGGCCTACGAACCGAACATGCCAGAACCGACCGAAGATCCAGCAGTGGATGTCTCAAAATATCCAATGCAATTGGTGGAGCTCACGGTCCTGCCGGACAAGCGGGGTTGGTCTAGATTTAAGATTTCACTTCCCCAAAACGTGCGACAAAGGTATATCGATGATGTGGTGTATGGGCAGGAATGGAGGGATTTGCTTCAAGACTTCGACAAACAGCTTCTGGGCTCAACGTGCCGGGGGAAGAAATGACAGATGTTGAAGCCTTTTTGCTGAACCCAAAACAGACCCAATCTAAGAAAAGCCTTGTTTTTGAGGGGCCCTTTTGTGGGGGACAATTTGTTGGGACACTTTTGGGGGCATGACCCTCTTGCCAAACGCCATCGCACGCCCAGGTTTGGGATCCAGACGACCTCCACGACGGCGCCGGTTCCTATGGAGGACGAGCGGCCACAGGACACGCCTTTGTCTTGGGAAGGAGAACCTGACACATTGGACCAACTTGTGGACCAGTACATCATTGAATGCAAGATGAGTGGCCGAACAGCTGGCACAACATTGATTCTGGTTCAGAGCAAGTCCCGGAACAACCAAACCACTGACGTGACAGAAGGCCAACAGTTCAAGTTGTACCTCGCTGCTTGTCTCCGAACTCTGAAGGTGTCCTGTTGGCTTTCGAAAAAAAAAACCGGTACCAACTCCTCGCTAACTAACTTCAGGCTGCTCACGTGGATGTGGCCGTGCCAAAGGGTGAGTACCAAATTGCCCACGGGCCTTCAAAGTTCCAGAAAGCAGACCGCATCGCCAAGCTGCAGCGGGAGGGGAAGCAAGGCTGGCAGCACACACACTCGTTTTCACTTGTTCAGCAAAAAGGAACTTGAGTTGTCTCTGCAAACTGGATTTTGTGCTTGGTGTGTCACATTGCCCGTCCGTTGAGATCTTTGTCATTCAAGGTTTGATAGGACGTGCATAGGCTCCCATACTTCCACATGTCGGCATTGCAAAGCTTGTTAGAGAAGCATGGCTTCGAGGAGGACGATCTTGCTTATAACTAGCCGGTCCTTCTGCGTAGGAAAGCTGGTTTGACCAAAGGACTTCAGCAAATTTGCTCAAGAAGATCAGCAGCTAACTACGACACCACCTCCTCGCAAAGCCCTGCCCTAAGATTTGACAATAGGTCATTTACAAACAACAATCCCAACGCCCGCCCAGGCAGACGCGTCTCCTTCGGCGAACTCAGCGTCCAAGCAGTCAAGTCCTGGGAGCGAGGTGGGAAATACATTGGTGCTACTGTAACAGATATTGATTCTCTTGGCAGGCTAGAAGCCCGGAGTTACCAATGACATCAAGCCTAAACTCCAAAAACAACAACCCTCCGCTAACACCCAAGCAAGTTGACGAGCTGCAGCACAAGATTGAGGCTTCCAAAAAGAACCAGGCTTCAGCTGCCAAATTGGCCAGAGTTGCAGCTTTCAGTACAGCATCCTCAAGCAGCAAAGCAAAGGCTGCACCAAAGAGGCGTGGCCGTCCTTCCAAAGCTGGTCCAAAGAAGCGCCCGGCAAGCTCCGCAGCAAAGCCTCGGCCCAGCAAGCGGCAGCAAGTGGAGGAGGATGAGGAGGATGATGATTGTGGTTTGGATTCAGAGGAAGTGCTCACTAGTTCGGAGGGGGAGGAAGATGAGGAGGAGGTCCCCAAAAAAGAGTCCAAACGTGGAAAAGCAAAGGCGACAGCAAAGGCAAAATCAAAGACAAGCAAGCCGGCGACCAAAGCCACAAAGCCCGATGCACATGATGATGAGGAACTGTCGGGTGAGACATTGGTTTGGGGGGACCAAGAAAAGCAGCCAGCCGCAGTCAAAGAGGAGGAAAAGCAAGAGGAGAAAGACAAGGCAAGGCCCAAAATCGAACCACTGAAAACGCATGCTTCCCCCTTTGCACCGACTCTTGTCACAGGTGACCCGTGCTGAGAAGACCACCAAGAAGGCCACTAAGCAGGGCGAGACGTCCAAGAAGGCCACTAAGGCGTGACCTTGCATCATGTCAAAGCTTGGCGCTGGATCTTGCGATTGCCCAGGGAACGAAAGGTCGTGTTGGGCTGAGAGACAATTACCACAAGCACATCCAGGATGAGAAGTTTCGTTTACAAGAGTCCCACCCTGATTGGACAAAGATGCAAGTCTTGACTGCCGCCCGTGCTTCGTGCCTAGACAAAACTTGGCTAATGGAACAAAGGAAACTGCTATGTTCAAATTCGAAACAATAACTGCTCCGCCTTGCTAAGGTGGCGCTCGCACCCTGACCGCGTCAACTCGCTGAAAAACATGACCGCCTCTGAGATTAGCCGCCGCAGGCTGAAAACTTTGAAGTCAGAAACTGAGACTCGTGATGAGTCCCGTGATGAGACCCATGGGGACTGATTATAAAAAAGGACCCACTTAGTTTCTTTTCGCCCGGTTCAACATCAACGGTGGCCCCGTCAGGGCTCTAAACGAACAAGTGATTGCAGTTTTCAGGATGTATGCTGGTTGAGTTTGGTTCAAAAATGGTCCGAAACCAACGATTCCATTTGGTTGGGGGCCACCTGTTTGCCTGGAAAACCTCGGCTTGTAAAGAAACAAGCCCTTTGTGTTTTGGTTGTAGCTACAAGCTCAGCTGATGATAGGTGGTGCGCTGCGCACTGTCACCAAGTCTAGCTGGACAGTGGCTGGATTGTCGGGTGGGTTCAATGCAGAAGCATTGATAGCAATCGGGGAGGCTAAAAAGAAGCGAAACCGTTTTAGGTGCAATTGCGTGCGTGTTGCCTTGCTGCACATTAAGGAATCCCAACTTGATTTTTTGGTCTGCAGCATAATCTGCAGGTGAGATGGATCGTGTGACTACCTGCGCTTGGAAGTCTGATGCTGAGCCTGTGGTGCTGGAAATTCCGGCATCAGAGGGGTGCAAGACAAACCAAGATGCTGAAGTCTGCAGCTTGAGAGAATTGCTCCATGAGCTGGAGGAATCAGGCGTAACAGATGCCACCATTAATTCTCATGAGTGCAACCGTGCCCCTGTTGCTGGACAAGCAGGGGAATCCTCGGAAGGCCTGTGTAGGTTCCTTTCACATTAGCTCAAAAAAGTTCATCCCCGCAGGTGTGGACTACTTCATCATCCAGCCGAAGGTGGCCCAGATGTTCTTCCAATGGCAGTATCCCAGCAACCTGAACTCCATGAAATTTTCTTCGGTGGCTTCAATCTTTACATCGCAGGCCTGGCGTTCAACCTTGTACCCTCAGAAAGGTTGCCAACCAATCCAGCAAGTAGTTTCCACCCACTCCATTTGGCTGAGCCAGGCTTTGGACGCCAGCAAGCTTCTCAAGAAGGTTTGGAGGGTGTTCTTTCACAAAGAGTCTAGTGTTACTTGGCTGCAAACTTGACAAATCCCTTCTTCCTAATGCTAAACAGTCCCCTAATACTAAAAATCCCAAATCAGGGAATACTGTAGAACAGCCAATGCTGCAACAAGTCTAAAGTAGGTATTTCCCACCCGTGTGCTAAAAGGGAACCCGTTTTGCACCTTCAATCCTTCAAACCATATTTATCAGTTCAGGGCTTTTCGTAGAAACGGGCAGCTGGCTCGGGTAGTTGGTGAAACGAAACATAGGGAGTTGGAGGGTTTTAGTATTGGGGTCTGGTTCTTAGAATTAGGGTCTTTCTGCGTGGCCTGCCTCCCTGAAACGAAACCAAGGGATTCCTCGCCTTGTGCTGGAGGGTTTTAAGAATAGGGTCTGCGGGGTCTCCCTGCCTGGCCTGCCTCCCTGAAACGAAACCAAGAGAAAGGTTTTAGTATTAGGGTCCGTGGTTCTCAGTGTTAGGTGTGCTACAAAATTACTACGGTTGTGCTACAAAGTTGCGACTTTCGAGCCGGAGCTCCGGGAGTCCGTTTCCCTTACTACGGCTGTGCTACAAAGTTGCGACTTTCGAGCCGGAGCTCCGGGAGTCCGTTTCCCTTACTACGGCTGTGCTAGAAAGTTGCGACTTTCGAGCCGGAGCTCCGGGAGTACGTTTTCTCTACTACGGCTGTACTACAAAGTTGCGACTTTCGAGCCGGAACCCCGGCAATACGTTTTCTTTACTACAAAATTGCGACTTACCAGCCGGAGCTCTTGGAGTACGTTTTCTTTACTACGGTTGTACTAGTTGCGACTTTCGAGCCGGAGCTCCGGAAGTATGTTTCTTTACTACGGCTGCGCTACAAAGTTGCGACTTTCGAGCCGGAGCTCCAGGAGTACGTTTCCTTTGTTGTACTACAAAGTTGCGACTTTCGAGCCGGAGAGCTAAAACCTGTTTTGTGGGGGGACCCGCTTAGGCATTAGGGGGAAGGGATTAAACTTAATAGGGGCTGGCCTTTTCAATGTGGTTTTGCACGGGAACCAAGGAAGTTTCGCCCAGAACCGTGGCTGCATCAAGTGCAGCATGGAAATCCTGCGCTTGCTTTGTGTTTCCCTGGTTCAAACACTAAGGAAAGCCGTTGTATTACCTGAAGCAAGATCTTGTGCTGAAAGCCAATTCGGTTATCCGCCTGGTGTGATTTAAGTTTACTCAGGGCACCGCAAGGTGTCTGTAAGAGTTGGGGTCTGCCCACCACTCCCTGATGAGTGCCGGGCAAATGGGGATCGCGCTGGATGGACCGAAGCTGACCGAGCAAAAGGAGATGCAGCAAGCGCGGGGCGCCAGCGGTCTGCATCATCCACTTCAACCGCTACTCCCCCTTCATAAACTGTCAAATTGTGAGACTTATTGCCCCGTTCGGTCATGGAATCGTGGCACATGATGCCCTGGATTGCCTTCAGTGTAACACCTGATTGTAATGGCGTGACCCCTGAATACAACCAAATTGACTTATTGGAAGAGTCCCCTCTGCAGGTGGTACGTTGCTTGAAGGAAAAGACAGGCATTTGTGGTGGGGAACTCCCAAGCTCCGTTTCTTCCGTCCTCGAGCGGAGCAAACATGGACCCACAAACGGAATGGAAAAAACAGTCCGATCCCGTCCAATTGTCCACTGTGCTCATAACCCCGTGACTCCTGGCTCTACAGGATGATTGTGAAGGTTTATATTCGCCAGCATTGCTGTGTTGTGTTATCTCCATGAAACCGGGTTGCACCCGTACTTGGAGCTGGGATAGGAATTTCCAAATCCTGAGGACCTCGAGAACCCTGACAACTGCTGGCTCTCCAAAAACGTCATGCATGCAGGGCTACGCAGTATCCAGATACCCCCGCCCCTGCCCCAATAGACCGTCAACATCCCTGTAAGACTACGGAGTAGCAACCTCTTGCTCGAGTGCGCCCCGCTGCTTGAGCATACTTCATCTCAGCCTTTTCGGAATTCTTGAACGAGGCTTCCCAAAGCTTGCAGACGCCAACTTTTTGCCAGCCACCCTGCTTTCCTGTCGGCCAGGACCCTATTGTCCAAAGATAGGAGCCCTTACACAGTGTGTGTGTGTGTGTGTGTCGCAAATCCTTATTCATGGATTGACAGCCATCATATCCAAGCCCAACTGAAAAACGTGTTGTGACCATGCGGTCAAACTTGCTTTGCCCGTTATGAGCACGGAAAATTGAATGTGACCCCCTTAGTTTGGGTGAGACAGCTAGTGAGACCCTGTCCGGAACCCGGAATTGACACCTTTTCGGTTCCACGGCCTCGTCATCGGCTCCTTGGGCGAAGGCATCACACTCCACCAAGCAAGCAAATAATGTAAGAAATCAAACAAAGCCAACCAGCAACACGGTACAAGCAAAAGCAAGTTGGCAAGCAAGCAAACAATCAAGCCAAAAAAACAAAAAAGAAAGAAATACAAAGAAAGAAAGAAAGAAAGAAAGAAAGCAAACAATTAAG